CGTAATATTAACGGTGGTCAGATTATGTTAACATGAATTGTCGCGAGTTTTGAACCATAACCGAAAAATTGAAATACTTGAAAAATAAGAAAAAGTATATTAGTCTAAAATGCATGACATACACCATTTTTGCATAGTTTTACGTCATACTGCGGTCGTGTCAAGGACACAAACCTTAATTTTTTTCAAGCTTACCACTATTTCACAAATCAGCGATGCGCTACAAATATTTTGATAGCCTGATAGACTTGGTTGTATACACTCACTGCACTGAATTTTCAGACGACATTCCAAAAATATAATCAAATTGTGGCACTAAATCAGCATCCAAACGACAATCGAAATAAATCGCGCACTTGTTTACTGCACTTGAAATAGAGAGGAATGTTTTACAATGTTGCATTGCTGTAGAATACTATTTCGGTTGCTATTATTCAACTCAAATTTTACGTCCTTCAAATTAACGATCATAACTATTGACACACATATGCTTAAGCGGTCCAGTAGGTATGGTGGATGCTTGTAGATCAGTGACTGCCGGTTCGAATCCCGAAATTCAAAGGCAATTTTAAGACTTAAAATAACAATTTAACCCAAGTAACATTTTAAGTTTTATGAAATACTATAAAGCTTTTATAAAACAACATTCATAAAACCCTGGTCAAGACTGCTTTGCCATTATTGTATCCACCAAAACCTCATTGATGCTAGAATCTGTCTAGTTAGCCCACTCTGGAAAAGGTTCTGAATGGTATATTTTCGAAGCTCTTCAATATTTATTTACTGCAAAATGGTTGTACTATAAACGCATTTAGATCCATTTCAAAACCGCTACAATAAAAGCTATTTGGCAACAATTAAAACCATTATCCGAGCCATTTACCCTAGCTGCTTGCTAAGTTCACTAGAAAAACAACAATCAAGATAAAAGGATTCATAAATACCATCCGATCTTATCAATGTCATTAAAATAAAAACTGATCGTATAAAAATCCCACCGAATTTCAAAAATTATAAAATAGTTCTCATGAAGTGGCCTAGTTTTAGGTGCCATATAAAAATGGATGTAAAATTTAAGTGAAAACATCGAAAAACTTGAGTCCGCCCACGGAAAACATCGATTTTATTAATTACTTAACATTAAGAAAAAAATATATTCTTCAGATCGATACAAGCTTAGCCGAGATTTTTATTTCTAGTGATTTTTGCCTTCTAAATATTTTCTCATTGCTAAATTAACTAAAATAAAGTTTTATCCAAGGAAATATACATTGAAAATCGAAGATTGTAAACAACAATTAAATTAATTGTAATATGGCGGAGGCATAAAAGTTGATTTTCATGGGCCATTAGTGAAAAAGTTATTTTGCTTTCAAGAAATCCTTAACAAATTCATAAGGTTTTGAAATGGCTTCTATGAAGAAAACTTTTAGACTGATTTGTATTTATCTTAAGCCATTAGGCTTGATCCTAACCCGTTCAGATTTATGGCAGCATTTATGGCGGCAATGTTGCCTACAAAATGTTAAACGTCAAAGTTTCTTTATCATTCGATAGTTGCGCTGTGCACTTACTCAGAAAGTGTTCACAACATTTCGCATATTCGCACAGCTGTAACCTAGATCATTCCCGAAAAGATCCCCTTCTTCCGGGTGGTTCTGGAAGTGCACCATCAATCGATGCAGGAATGTACGGTTGAATGAATTTTTTTTTCAAGTGATGACCCTTTCACCGAATAAAATCGCAGCTATGGATCGGAAACCAACTAGTGTCCGCTAACTGACAGTTTCAGTGGTTTGCTGTCGGTACTGACGCAAGTTATTCCGATCTTCATCTATTCGCAAGGTCTGGAGAAGGCTGTATTCAGACTGTTTTGACAATGTTTTATGAATTTGAGGACCACGCTCACTTCAATCTTCTCCACCAGATGCTCAGTCGTTGAAGGTACCGGTTCCGTCGGACGTGCTGATTCTTCTAAAGAATTTTTTTGAATTTTTCTTCCAACTTCGTTTATCCTTCGAGATATCCTTGTCATAAATTTGGTTTTTATTCACTATGAGGATCCATCCTTAAAGTTCAATTAGTAAACAGAGGAGATTTTATGATACACTTTTAAAAGCCTAAAAGGCAACAATATATGCATTTTACTCTCATTTAAAACCGTATGGTTTTATGATTGCTTTTATAATGATAGAACAGGTTGATAGAGTATTTTGTCAAGACATTAATAAAAAAAAAGCTAATGAAGTTTATGATTGATTTTTAAAACAGTTTTATAGTGGGATTGAGAACTACTTTAAATTTAATTTTAAAACAGGACAGTTTTTGACTTCTCGCCAGACTGTAAAAGGTTTTTAAAATAGCGAAAAGGTGAACTACTAAGCAGGAACGTTTTACACTGTGAAATGCTGTATTTAAACTAAATGGATTATTCATTGCCATTATAAAACCATAATAAATCAGAGTGGATGCCAAATGATTGCAGAATTGTTACATGAGAAATATTTATGTGAATCCAATTTGTCAGTATTAAGGTAAAACAGCCCCATAACAATTATAATATATAAAGCGGTCTTCGATTATTTAAAAAAAAATTAAAAATAGCATGCTGAACAAGAATGAAAACAAAATTCAATTAATGTCTTAAAAAGCATAAAATTCACATAACCATTAAGCTTTTGACTGATTAAAATCACCAGATTTAGATGCTTAAAAGCTAAACAAATGTTAACGTGCTCTATAATTATTCAATCTAAGGCTGAATTAAAATCGTTGAAAGAACAAGTGTTAAGCATCAAATTGTTACCTGGACAAGCTATATTCAAATGTTTTACGAGATGAGGCAACCTTTACTCAGCATCTGTACAAGCAAATCTGGCTATATGTTATCCTGCTGTTTAGTTAGAAAGGCACTTATTCAACGTTTTTCCGGTTATAAAATAATCACTACACAGCTTTCACTTGAACCGGGTTAAATATTGTTGAGTTCATTGTGCTGCAAATCAAATTAATCGAAATTAGGTATAAGCACACCACCAAATTATTTACCCTGCGCCGGAACTTGGAATCGAACTAGAGACGACCACATTGGCAAACCTTGACACTACAAACTTAGCTACGCCAACACTTTGAAATGATGTAAACCAAAATCTAAATGCCCTTCTACAACGAGATCGCTGATTAGAGGCTTTATAATAGTGCCCATTAATCACTTTTCTCGGCTAGTTCATTGAATTTTGTAAAGGAGCGGAGTCAGAGCTGTAAAACTGCACAAGTCTAAAAATAAACCTAGTTGACTGTAAAAATGCTTCCAAAGTAGCGCTACCACAGTTTATTAGCTGAGTAGAGGTTGTTTGGACGTTGAAAAAACACTTTTGATGTATACGTTATTATATGTTGTGTAGAAGCCATCTAATTATCAATATATTCACTTTTATAGCTTCGTTTTGCAACAGCAAGTTGAAAGTTGATTAATATTTGCATCGACGTGACATTAGAGTTTATTGGTAGATGTTATTCAGTGCGACTGACAAATTGAATAATGGTTGTGAAAGAGTTGAGTAAACCCTCTTCAAAACTGTTTTGTTTGCTTCTGATTGTAGCATTATCTGCAGCTTTTTCAGCAACTTTACAGCACAACGCTGGAAAAGTTGGCTTATAAAGCTGAAAATGTTAGTTGAAAGGCTCGTACCCCAAATTCCCCTACTTCATCCCTGTTTAAAGCATCGGCAAAGTCAATTCCGAAGCCGTTCGTTCAAAATTGAACGCGTTCAACCATCGACAACCAAGAGAAACCACCCGCCAAACTCTAATAGCTTTAGTTAGGAATCAAGAAAAAAAAAAGTTCTTCTTATAATTTTATGATTATGGAATTCCCGTCTTCTTCGGGAAACTTTTCACTCCAACCACCCCAGCCTCTCTTCAGCGCAGTCAGTGTAACTGCTGTTGCAAAATTCCGGTAAAACTCTGTGATGGTGCTGCACCTTGCCCTGATGCTGGTTTCCCTCTGCTTTCGCCTTCCACCCACCAGCTCACCTTTTATCGCGCGCTCTGAAATGTGCGAGTTGATCCCACCGCAGCGCAGCTCACTTGGCACTTTGGTTGTCGTCGATGCACTTTTCTTGTATTAGCCACTTCCAGGCGGAGATGGAATTGCCACAATAAGCTGTAAAGGAAGTTCTTGGTGGGTACCTACTTGGTCGTATCAAGTTTTTTTCCTCTTCTTGGGTAAAGAATGAAAAGTTGTTTTCCATACACAACAAACGCGCAGCAAGTAGGTACCTACCTACAGGACGGAAGAAGTCAAATTTCGCTGACAATAACGTGGGATGGCAACTCAAGTGAGGAACCGGAAGGCGAACGGAAAATGTTAATTTTATTTACGATCTTGATTTTCATTCCGCGGACCGCAGGGTTTTTTTTTTTCGGGACTGCTTATTGGCTGGGGAAGTTTGACATCTTTTGCGGCAAACATATTGGGTGATTGGGTGGGGACGGAAAGTTTCTTCTTTTTTTGCTCCAAAGGACGGTACATTTAGAACCAAACGAAAGGTGGATAAGACTGTCGAAGAGAGAAGAATAAAAGTTGGAAATCATCACTCCCAGAAGGATCAGACTTGAGAGCTTTCGGTAGTTTAAACTTTCTAAATTGGAGTGCAAGATTTTGCTTCGACCGTAATGCGGGAAATTGATGGCATGGCTCTTGAGGTAGATTTTTTACTGCGACAGTATTGGGGGAACGTAAGAGTACTGGCGTTTCCTTGTTTATCGAACATAGGGAATCATATTCGGACAGATTTTTAACCGGATGAAATATCAAAAATTCAAATTAAACAAATCGAAAATATTATATAATCAATTTCAGTAAAAGTACAACAACCATCCATTCTTATCATCAAAAAGCATTCAATACATTAAACTTATTAAACTTCAGATCAATTCACCGATTATCTGTACAATTCAGTTTCTTTACCGCTTCAATTTCAAAGTCTTGCTGCGCCTCACTTTAGATATTTTTCCCGATTGTACCACTTCAGGTAGCAATCGTCTCCGAAGCACGTCAAGTACCCCATCAACTTCCGCCTGGCTAGGGCCGTTTCGTAGTGGCATCTGAACTGAATGATGGCAAACTTCTTGCTCGGATCGAACACCCGATAACCGATGTACACCTGGAATAAGACCACTTTCGTTAGAAACTGTTTCCACTTTTCACGCTGAAACAACTTACGCAACTGCCTCCACTAATAGCCTCGACAAAGCCCTGGAGCACCTGGTTCATCACTCCATCGTCAATATTCAGCAGCACCAGCTTCCGCATGTTCAAGCTTCTGCAGGCGTACAGCACAAATCGGGGCCCCAGTGGCAGCTGGTGAAACATGGCCAATGCCCGCTGGAAGTCATCCTCGTTCGTGTAGCGCACATACGCGATGCCACGGTTCAGGCCGGAGAAGCACATCAGCAGCCGAATCTGGTACACGAAGCCGGCCGTCGAAAACAGCGGAATCAGCTCCTGCTCGAATATGTGCCGTGGCAGGTGCTTGACGAATAGTTCCCACTCGTACGGTGGTTCCGGAATGTCCTGCGGGGGACCGATAAACCGCTGGCCGTTCACCTGCATGGTTTGGTATTCATATCCGAACCAAAACACGGACATTTTTCACACAAATTTAATGATTCTAACAAGGTCACAACCACGCTGCAATAATAATGCAAACCAAATGAGCTACTTTTGATGAATGAAATCGATGAGACGGTACACGCAAGGGAAAGGTAGAAGCAACGAAGAAAACTTCGATATCTTAAGATTTCACAAATACATTCAAGGACAAAGTCAAGGTTGTGTGTTGTGCGACTTTGTGTTGGTCAGACAGGAAATTACGGACGGTGGTCATACAAGTCTGGCAAGCGAGAGCGATTATTCATTCAAAAATCGATGAACGAGTGTTGGTGACGGGCATCCAATGTGTGCACAAGCTTGAGTCAAACAAGTCGATATATTCGGCGACGCACATCCAGTCGGTACTGTACGAACTAGGTACTGATCCTGAAAAACAACAAAAAAGTTAAGACACGAATCCATGGGGATACCAACACCAGCAAGGTCAAGGGCAAGGCTGACTGCACAGTGCACTACATAATCGCCATCTGTGTTGTTGTGTGTGCTTCAGCCTTGGTCGTTTCGCCTATTTCAATTTGGTTGGTTTTAGAAGGAAAGTTTCTGGCAGGTACACTGATGGTAGTGGTGATGCGTGTTGGTCATTCATACTTTCCTGTTCTGGAAAGTATGAATGATTACCACACATCACCATTACCTTCAGTGTGCGTACCAGGAACTAGAAGATACAAAAATGAAAGTTGAGGCAATAGGTACAACGTTTTTGGTGCTTTTGGAAGACTGAAAGAGCCGAAAACCTCTACACGCTAGTTCTAAACAACCCAAATTTGAATAGGATCTACTCATATCCGTCAAAAGTAGGGCTGCTCACAATAGAGTAAACAGAAGTTGGGACTTACAAGATGACGAATGGACAACATCAATCTGAATCCGAACGATGTTGGTCATTTGTCATCTTTTCAGTTCCAACTTTGTTTATTCAATTTTTGGAAGCCCTACTTTTGACGGATATGAGTAGATCCTACTCAAATTTGGGTTGTTTAAAAAAAAGCGTGTAAAACAGATATGGATTTTTTCCATCTACTTTTTCACGTAAATTTTTCGTTTTTCATATGTAGATCGGTTCCAAAGTTTTAATTTCAATCCACATAAAACTAATAGGTAGTTAGGCCTTTGAAGTAAATTTCACTATATTTTCATGTAACATCTGAGTGAAAAGATCTTCCCAAATCCACTAAAAAGCAACATGGATTTTATAGTACTTGCTAAGTGAATTTTATTTTTTAACTTAAATTTTAGTAAATTTCTTCGCAGCATCAAATTTAGGCGTTTTAAAATGATTTTTCAAATAATAAAAATAACTGGATATATATTTGTTTATTTATTTTATTGTTCAGCTTAATGCTGTTCATAAATTACGTAGACTGTTTAGGGGGCGGAGGGGTTGGCAATTATTCACGGCCCATACAAATTTTAATAATTCTGTATGGACAATTGTCTACGCAGGAGGAGGGGGGTCATGAATCCAAAAAACTGTGTACGTAGTTAATGAACAGCCCCTTACTTGTTTGAGCTATTTTATACACACACAAAAAGCATACAATCCAATGCAATGCAGCTGCCAGCCGCTCCCCGGCCAGCTGCACTTCCTCTGCCAATCTTTCGGGTGAGATGGTAAGGAAATCAAACTCGACGATTCCTCGTTCCACAAAAATATATGATTAGTAAATGGTGTATGACGACGAAAATAGAACAACTTAATATTCAGAAAATTCAACAAATCCAATGGAATTCCAAGAGAAACTTCTGGAATTTTTTTTAGAAAATTTCGCAAAAATCCAGAAGCCAGAAAAGTTTGGAAATCGGAAGCCAATCCCGGAGTAGCCATTTCCGATGACAGAAAATTCTTGGAGAACTCGATAGATATATCCGGTAGAACTTTAATTGAACTTCCTGGAGACGGAAGAAACTTCCAGGATACACTGGGAGAAGCTTCCTAAGATAGATTGGAAGAAACTTTTGAAAAAAGTCGTACGCCAGAGGACTTACGGAACAGTCGAAAAATACTTCAATGAGAAGATGGAAAATATCTGGAAGAAATAGATTTCTGGGAGATGTAAGCACAATATTCCCTGAAGTTCCTCACATGCTCTATTGATCCAGCAATTTTTATATTCATTAAACATCCCTGAAAACCCCACAATGTCCCAGAAGAAGTGAATTGCATTTGGGAGTATTCCATAATTCCTCGGAACTCCTTGAAAGTTCTTGCAATTTTCTAAAGTTTATAGGGATGTTTTGAAGTTCTCTGATCATCCTCGAAGTACGAAACTTCCCTGATTATTATGAAATTATCGGAAAATCTCTTATTTTCTTTTAAAGTTCCTGGATCATCTTTAACTTTTTAATTTTTTTTAAATTAATGAACAGCAGCATTAAAGTTCTCTGATCTTCTCGATTTTTTTTTTTTTAATTCTTTTAAAGTTCTCGAAACTGCCGACAAAAAACACAGAACTTCCCTTAAAATGTTCTCACAATTTTCTTATGTTTGTAAAACTTCCCAATAAAAAAAATTCTCAAAAGTTTCGTTTTCGAGTTTATTTTTATTTATTCAAAGGGGGGATGTTTCTCAGGGTCTTAAACTATGTTAATCATCGATCGAGTTTCCACTTGCTGCAATTACGGCCTCCACACGCTTCCGGAATGCACGGCAGGTTCTAATGATGTAGTGGATCCATTTCTCTCCAGATACGGGTCAATGTTTGTCTGAGGCTTGCTGTACTCGGGTGGCGTTTAGAACAGGCCTTGGCCTTCATGACGCGCCATATTGAGTAATCCAGCGGATTAAGATCCGGGCTAGATGGCGGCCACATATCCTTCGCCCAGAACGGAAGATGTTCCTGCAATATTTGGCTTCGGACCGTACTGTTCTTTGATCCACGGAAGAACAATATTACTTGAAATCGCGATGTAGACCTCCGTGTTGACCTTGTCGCCTTCTGAAATGAACACCGGGTCCATTTTTTTTTTGCCATCGGAAGCCACCAATCCAAACACCATAACGCTAGCATGATGCTTGTTCAGATACACGTTCTTGTGCTCGTCGGCCACGTCATTTACCGGAAGAGAACGAATATACCGGTCGGTCCTGGAATTTGATACGGGATCGACGGTAAACATGCTCTGGTCGGTGAACAGGATTACTGGATTTTTCCGCTTAAGGAAGTTCAAGATTTTCTTGCATCGTTCGACTCGTAGCTCCCAGATGCGGCGCCACGCAATCTTCCGTGCCGTAAAGTCACTGATCCCGTGTTCCTTTGCCATTTTCCTTATTGAACGCACTGGATTCACCCGAATCATCCTTTTGATAACCCTCGGAACCCGAGCTGACCTCGGACGACCTGTAGCCACCTTCGCGGATAGTTGTCCTTTCTTTTCTCGGTCTAAAACCCTTTTGACGGTCCACCGGGACACTACCACGGCGATTGAAATGTCTTTTTGCGACATTTGCGCGTGGGACAAATCACGAATACGCTGCCACTTCGTAATGGTGCACTGTCAAACTAAGTCAATCATTTTCTTTTATATACAGCCTACTACGGTATGAGCTAAAGGTTACGTGCATGCAAAGAAAACCAAGGCATTGTATGCACAGGTGAAACGGGAACCTTATTTGTACGATGGTGCAAACATTATCACGCATACTCATATTACTCAGAGAATGAATCTCTTTTACTGATTCGTATGGAGAATTTTTTTTAATCGTAAGTTACTCATGCGTTAAATGACCTACGCTTTAAGTATTTTTTTTTTCATACAAATGAGTAAAAGTGACTCACAACTGAGTAAAAGTTATTCAATCTCTGTGCTAGTTTCGTTTGCAGTGTGTAACGCAATGAACACCCCTGTTTATCACTCGACAGCCAAACAATGACTTTAGTTAAACTTTCTACGTTTCGCTTACTAAGCATTTGGACTATCTTTCGATGTCTCTCCTTTTTTTTTGTATTTAGCTGATGTAGGTGAATGAATAGAAAAAAAATATGCTACGATGTCCACGCTGCAGCGAACAAGTTCGAGGTCGACCCGTCCAACGAATTTAAATATTTAACATTTATAATGTGTGACATACCACACAAATTTTTTAAAACTGCCGATTTGATCGACATACAAATCATCAAAATCCATTGATTATTGGTAAAGTTATTAACATTTAAAGTCTGACCAATTATCGTTGCATTTCCCTGGATTGGAAGCCTTCCCGAAAGACGTAGTTAACGGCTTTTAAGTGAGCTTCAAAGAATTTGGTGAAGAATTTCATCTTAATTTCCAGGGTAAATCTGAGGAATATTTCAAAGAGTTCCTACAAAGAAATGAAACCAAATGCAAGGAAAATCCAGTTAATGTTTTAGGAGAAAACGTGTTACCAATGTCGGATCCACAGTTTAGTTTGGTTGTCTTTACTATCGAGACCTTCAGCCGTGGCCTGAATCTTTTCCTAATCAATGAAGACAACTTTATTTAATGATCGTAGACAACACAAAAAAAAATGTTTCAGTTTTGGGAAAGTTCTTGTTGTTAGAGACTTCAAATAATCTATGAATTCTCATGCTAAGAAGAGATTTTAATATCTCAGTTCATCAAGACTCTGCCCTAGCAGCACACTTGTCACTCAGTAGTTGTGGTAACTTGTATGTAGCTTATTTCAGTCCCAATCAAGTTGCAGCAACTTTTTATGAGGGAAGTGTGTTGCTTAGGTGGGACTCGAATATTCAAAATTTCGAACTTTTTAGCATTTATAATTTAAAATAGATCAAATGTCTCAAATGTCTGCGAAAAGAATTTTAGCATGTTAAAAAAATTTCAAAATCTTGAGAGCAAGCAAATTATTAAAAGTTTATGACATTATCATTTTTTAGAACTTCGTTTGCTTCTTCTTCTTCTTCTTCTTCCTTAACAATTTTGGTTTTATGAGGGTTCTGTAGAATGCTATAAAACCTCTATAAAACTTGCAATGATACTTGGGTTTCAAGGTTATT